ACTCAAAAGAAAAATGAGTCAAAAAAGTAGAGAAGAGACAAGCCAAAGTTCTGTCACGCAACGCAAACGCAGGACTCACTGCTGTGTGACATCGATCCGCGAATGCGAGAAAATGATTGGTTGGGAGGAGTGAGGAGTACGTGGGTACAAACAAAAATTGCATCAGATCAACCGACGAAGGTTTCAAGATGGTAGAGTGGGCCCCTCTTAAAATTCCGCTGAAAAGGAGACTTCAGACGTTTTTTGTGATGTTCCAAGTGTATATGTTTCTCTTTGGACACATCTTCGGAACTTGTTTTCTATTGTTGTTACTGTTGAATGCATACACCCGTATTTTTGCTGCGCTTTATATTGGCTGGGCCTTCATCTTGAATTCTCGAACTCCAAGTCGCGGGGGACGTTCCTTTCAGCTGGCAAGAAGGTGTAAGATGTGGAAATATTACTGTGATTACTTCCCAATACGTCTGATAAAAACGGCAGAATTGGATCCTAAGGAAAACTATATTTTTGGCTATCACCCACATGGAATTATTGGTTTGGGAGCATTGGGAAACTTCTGTGGGGAGGGAACCGGATTCTCGGAAAAGTTCCCCGGGATTTATCCTCATCTACTGACGCTCACAGTGAACTTCAAGTTCCCGTTTAGCAGAGAATATTGCATGGCGATGGGTGCGTGTTCCGTTGATAAAGATAGTATTGAGTACATTCTAACCAAGATGGGTCCTGGTCATTCGGCCGCCATTGTAATTGGAGGAGCAGCAGAGTCTTTGGAAGCTCGTCCAGGAAACTTTAAATTAACCCTGAAAGATAGGAAAGGTTTTGTCAAACTTGCATTACGTAATGGGTTAGTGTGATTGATTCAAAACCAGGATCAGAATTTATGGTCGAGATCACTTGGATCATGGAAGTGGCGGATCCAGACCGTCAGATAAGGGGGTGGCCCGGTCATCCAGACCCTGAGATGAGGGAGGGATGGGGGACTCGGTCTCAAAAAAATTTTTTTTCCGCCCTTCAGGCCTCAGTTTGGTCTAAAAATAAGGGGGGCCCCAGGCCCCTCCCCTGGATCCGCCACTGCATGGGGCTAGAATGGGATTTAGCGTGAGTTCCTAATTGACAGGACTGTCAGCCCCACACATCTTCAAATATTGAGAATTGATGGGGAAGGGGCGATAGATGACGTCATAATGCATGGCACATAACATCATTTGTGAAAAAAGAAAAACGTGTGAAAAAGATGTTCACTGTTGGAATCGTGACCTAATTGGTTTACTTCCCACCAATCACATTATTGCTTATATTACAATGGCATACCGGAGTTTGTGAGGAAACGTTTGACGTTAACAGTAAAATAGCTCAAAAAACGTAAAACATTTGAAATTTCATTGTCGAATCTGCAAGAAATGGCAAACTTCAGCAATTATCCGGGAGATTTCAGACAGTAATCCGGAGACCAGGAGAAACGGTTCAAAACCTGGGGTCTCCCGGATTATCCGGGAGAGTTGAGAACCCTGAATTGATTCCCCCATACCTGCCAATATCCGGAGTACAAAAATCTGGAGACGTCTAGAAATCTTTCCATTGTAAGAATGTCATTTTCGACAATGTCTGACTACTCTCCGAAAATCACCCGAAGGCCTTCTGAATGTTCTCATGCAACTTTGATAACAGCGTGCAAAAACAGCACCAACTTTCTACCATGTATTGTGTAATTTGATTGGTTGATTTTTAACCAGTTATGATACTTGTTTTATTAATTTAGTCAAATTGATTGCTCTATTTTACATTTTCCGATCGAGAAGAGAGCAAAGAAGAGCACTAAATACACTTCTTGTTTTATTTTCTTTTTTAACATCTCAAAAATAATGTAATAATAAAATAATTAATCGAAAAAAAATTTTGAAAAAGGCCACAGTAGGTATTTCCTGGGAGATTTGGTGCTCTAACCAGGTGACCGGGAGATTTGATGAAAAACTTGGAGACTCCTGGAAAACTGGGAGAGTTGGCAGGTATGTGCCCTATGCCATGATCCGAGTGATCTTGGATCTTGAATCCTGATCCAGATCATTCTAAAGGAACACACCCTTGAAGACTATATTTATTGTTATGTATAAGATGGACAATTACCTGGTTTAGCTTTGCATGGTTTGGTATTGGGGATGCATGTTAAGGGATATTGGAATTATGTTAGATTTGAGATAGGGGGTAAAATGACACAATTTTTTAGTAGGAGTATCATGGAGAAAAGAATAATTTGTTTCAATTATGTAATGAATGCATTCTATAACAAGACTAGATGGTGAAAGTGATGTCACCTTATTTTTACTCTAGTTGCTCATCTAGTTACCTACTTGTGTTGCCTGGCCCCCAGAATGTGTGAACAAAAGAATACATCTGATCAGCCCTTCTCTCCCCCCTTGATATAAGCCCACCTCCAAATATATTGAAGTGAATGCCATTTATTATGACAATTTTAAGTGCAAAACATGATTCATGATTAGCACTGCTATACATTCTTTTAAAGCACTTTTCCTTTATATGCAGTTGTAAGTTCCCTTGGATATAAGCCTTCCTAAAACCCCTATTGAAGACACGGTGTATAAGCAGCAGCTAACGTTGGACTGTTGGAAGGGGACAGATAACAAATTGTCGTTGCTGGAAATATTGGCATGTCCTAACTGTTTATCAAAAAGATGCTTACATATGTGCAAATGTTCCATTCATTTTTTGGCTTCATTAAATCCTTAATACCATATGAATGTAGAAAATTTTAGAAGGAGCCACCCCCAGTGTGAGCACAATTATTGACAAGGTATAAGTGGCATAGTTTCAGATCAGCGAATGCTAATACCACATAATATAACTGTGCATTGGTCATATTTTCAGTGCATCTTTAGTTCCTGTATTTTCCTTTGGAGAAAATGACTTATATGATCAAGTGAGTAACCCCTCTGGCTCAGCACTGCGTCATTGGCAAACAAAGGTAAAAGAACTGATGGGATTTGCACCTCCACTCTTCCATGGCCGTGGAGTCTTCCAATACACTTTTGGATTGCTTCCATATAGAAGACCAATTCATACTGTCTGTAAGTTATGTTTAGCTGTTCCTTCTTCATAAAAATATAATGTTTGTCTTGTAGTATAAACTCTTGCTAATCACATGAAAAAAGGTACATTAAGCATTGTTGCTAATAATTCCTTATTTTACTCCTTATATATGATGTAACTGGCATGATGATATTAATTTTTAATGAATCACATTGCAATTGCAATTGGTTAATGCTCTTAACCAAGAATTTAAAGACAAAAGAAAGAAAACACTAAAGAACGAAACGTTCCTATTTTTGTGTTAGATTAATCCAGTCTATTATTGTTATCAGAGCATGCAGACATTAGTTTGGTGGATAATGATTGAAAAGCTATTGTTCAAGTACAGTATTTTAAATACTATTTTAAAAGCATTACTCCACATACTATTTTACACATTCTTAGTCACTTTGACCCCAGTGCGATGTCTGAGAAAAATGCATGCCCAAAGTTTAGGTAAAAGCTGTTTTTCTCAACCTGTACTGATTGACTGGACAACTTTTATCACGTCTTATAGATGTCTGTTCTATTGTTGAGTGCAAATTAAATAAAAAAACAATTGAATTTATATATATAATTTAGTTTGGTTTCAAACTGAAGCATTCGTCTATTTCTCAATATTTCTTTTTCTAGTTGGTGCACCCATCAATGTTAACAAAGTTAAGAGCCCTACAGCAGAGGAGGTGGATAAACTTCATTGTCAGTACATCACAGCATTAAAAGATTTGTTTGATAAACACAAAAGAAATTATGGAATTGATGAAGACAAGCATTTGATCATCTGTTGATGGAAGGAAGCTTGTTGTACCATAATTGATTAGAGCAATATTGATCACTATTTAAGATCAACAGAATTGACATTTTTTTTTTCTTATTTTAGGACAGTGGCTTAAAATTAAGTGAACAAATATAAGAAAAATAGAGTGATTTTACGTAGCCCCTAAAATAGATACTTACATCTACACAGTTCTATACTCTAGCTGATTTCATAATTTTGTTTTGTTTACTTGTAACTGTTTGACACTAATTGTTAGATATTGTTTCACGGGTTAAAAGTGATTTCACTCAACCTGTGAAATAGGTAGTATTATGCACTAATTCCATTGTTTTGTTTTGTTTACCTCCTGCTGCTATTTTACACTATTATTTGTTAGTATCTGTTTCACAGTTCAAGTAAAATCACTCTACTTGTTTCTGGTCCATTATTGCATGTAACATCTAATCCTAGGAAATTCGTTGAGGTTATTTAATATTAGAATCTGTTAAATAAAAGATTTGCTAAAATAGTTTTATTTAATATGAAATGTACACTTACGCTTGAACAATTTAAAATATTAAAAAGATCCTAAAGCATTCATAGTAATAATTTTTGCAATGGTGGTCTATTCGGGGTTTCGGCGTTTAAGAGAGCAACTCAATTTCACTAGAAAGTCTAGAAAGGAGAAACTCACAGATTTAATAGCTGTTTTTATTTAGCTTAATATACAAATTGAGCAAATCCTGCAGATGTATACTCGATTATTAAAAAAAAAAAGTTTTCACTTGAAACATGCTGAATCTTCACTCAACTGATAAGCGATGAAGACGTTGACGTAACGAGGTCGAAATATTCGCCTGGGTCCGTATATATTTTTTAAATAATTGAATAATGATAAAGGTCGAATCCAGGGTAGAAAGGTCGTTTCGCCCGAAAGTAGATTCTCGTGGGGGAGCTTCGCCCTGATTTAGGTCGATTCTTTCGTGTGCACAGCCTAAAATAAAATTTAAAGAGAAGCGAGCAAAGACAGTGATTGCAAAGCCGTGTGTTTCAGAGTGTTTCAACAACTTTTTTTTTGCAGATTCTGCTCCCTTTCGTGACAGGTGGGTACTAATTTCTTCCCAGAGTTCTCCGCGCTCTCCCCTTTTGTCACGAACAAGAGATGTATAGCAGCGCTGCATAGTAGCAAGCTATATTCAGCACGGCTGAACCGATTTTTGGCTTCTTTAGGATGATACGATGAATGGGGAAGTGTAATCTTTCAGCAGGGACAGATCGGAGGATAACAAATTTGAACGTGACTTTCTGAATCCTGACTTAAAAGTTTCCACCAGGTGAGGAACAAAGAACAAAGCTCGCGATCATGCATGCTATAAGACTTGATGTTTGTTTTATGGAATGAAGTAAACTATTTCCTTAGAGCTGTTATAGTTTATTGAGGATGGTATCCAGGGCTCAAAAACGGAATGCTTTTAATGTTTCGAGCACTGTAAGGAGGACTCAAACAAACTTTCGTGACCAAAGCTTACGGTCACACCTGCAGGGGAGCCCGTCTTGCGCTCGTGTCAAAATTTCGAATATTTTATGAAGTGTCAACAAACAACCTCCGAAGATCATCAGTTGAACTTAGCCTTCTAACCATTTTGGGAGGACTTTAAGCTGCATCTGGCAAAGAATTGACATTTATCTTGTGCATCCTAGGGCCCAAGTTTCAATTTGGTGTACTGAATATTGCGTGAGCGGTAATTATGTATCGGTCAAATCGAAGCTTCAACATCCCCCCACTCGGGCATACCCCGGGCATTTGACACCTTTGCCGTCCCGGAGAGGAGGGAATTTGATTATCAGAGTCTTCTACGGGGTGGGGAATTTGAAATGCACCCTCGATTTCATGTGAAATCTCTGGCGTGGTGAGCTATCTACCGTTCCATCATATCTGCATTTCCTTAAACTTAGCTGTTTATTATTGTTATTTTAATTGGTAACACCTGTACAAAATGGTAATACTTAATAAACTTGTTGTTGTTGTTGTTATCATGGGGGACACGGTGTTAGAGGATTTTCGTGGAAAAGATTGTGCCTTTGTGGCCAATTGGTTACGAGGAAAGGGCTTAAACAAGCTTTGTGCCGTATTTGAAGGTATTTAAATTTTAATATTTTTAAATATTTTAATATTTTTGGATTCAGGCTTTGAATATATAAATGTATTAAGTAGTGTTTACAATGAAATACAATACCTATTACCGGCGATTCAATACAACAATAGAAAGCTCAACATAGGTCAATTACTTTGACGTGCTGCATCTCAATAGGTGGGATTTTTTTTATAGAACGCTTTGTATGTTGCATGATACAAGAAGAAAATCTGAGCATTCAGTGACCTTTTAGCAGCGATTTCGCCGCTTTGAACGAGACTTTTGTTCTTAGTAAATACGCTAACAGTGTTTCTCAGTTTTTGTTACATTGAATACAAATTATTTGCTGTATTTATAAAGATTTTGTTCGACAACTGAAGGCGTTTCTGCCGTCCTTCTGTCATTTATGTGCCTCTGAAATGTCCCCGGGGTGGGGGCATTTGATGACCCGAATGGACCCTAGTGTGGGGCATTTGAACGGCATTTTGGTCCGGGTAGGGGAGAATTTGAACAGTAATTTTCAAAAAAGGGGATTTTGAAGCTTCGATATACACTTCACAATCGGCTAAATGCAAGCAACCTCGTTCTCAGGGTTCTCTCTTACGGAGCGCCTCGTAGGGCGGGTAGGAGAGAACCCTGGGAACGAGGTTGAAATGCAAGTAGACTTGCGCGATTTTGAAAAACATAAAAACATGTAAATGGGAGTAAAACGCAATGTTGAGCTCTTTTTGTAATTTCCAAGGCTACTATCACTAAAACAGCGATTAAACCGAAATTCGACGATAGATCTTCTTCAAAAAATTTCAGTGCCTGATGCAGTGTACCGTGATACAATGCCCGATCTTCGTGTCCATTGAACATTTTAAGTTGCCTAACGTAGGCGCAAAGTTGAGTAAATATTGAAGCGATGAGATAGATTTGGACATTTTTTTGGTTTGGGACTTCCTATTGTCTCGAGTTTAGCACAACATCAAATTCCCATGCAGCACGCGAGAATGTGAAACTTCGCATAACGAAAGACGAGCACCAAGGTATGCATTTCCAAAGTTCAGGTCGGTGAGGGCTGAGATTCGATTTAAAACCTATGGTGACGTCATTGTCACTTGATATTTATTCCGATCTCCCAAAAAATTACATCATAACAAAGTTTAGTCTATGTGTAATCTATGAGTTATAATGGTTTTACCATGAAGATCAATTTGTGTAAGTAAAAAAGAGCTTCAAAGATGGAAGGTGTCGTTGCAAAGTTATCTTATCGAGCCACCTCCGGTTATTAAATCCGTGCTCAGTGGCCAAGGTCGTTGAGATGAAAAAAAGGTTATTGATCAGAAGCTTTCAGAGGACAAGCGACTAAAACATGCTTTGAAACGTGACATTGTATAAAGATTTAAAAACCATGTACTTTAGCTTAATCTGAATTAACATAATGTGGACAGATATTTTGGGAAAACTTTGCTTTTAATACGGTTTATAAAGTACCATTGACCAGGAATGGTGTGCACGCTGATGAGCCCCAATAAGGGCGAAACAACTGTCCATGGCTGCTCCAGCCCGGTCGATATGGCTGTGCGCATGCGTGAGGTACTGGCAAGGCCGTGGGTTGGAACGTGGGTTAGTGTATGTGTGCCCCTTGCTTTTATTAAAAGTACGGGAAATCGGGCAACAATAACGTGCAACTTGTTTAGCAATATTACTGCAAAACGAGTTAAAAAGCGATGCTGCGCGTTTTACCACCCGCATTCAACCTGTCTTGAAACAAATCAGGTTGTTACAGGTTGCGAAAAGTTGTTGCAGAAAGTAAAGAGTAGTTCACTTTTAGCAACAAAATCTGTACATGCCGCGCGTTTTAGCGGCCCAAGGTAAACTTGTTTTGCAGGAAGTGACGTAACTCCTGTGTATGGCATGGCTCCCGCATAATTTTATCCAATCAGAAGTCAGTATTCACGCAACCCACAGCAACCTTCATTTGTTGCTAGACAGGATTGAATATGGGTGGTAAAACAAGCAACATCGCTTTTCAACCAAAACAAGTTGCACGTTTTTGTTGCTCCTTTTACCGTGTCTCTAGGTTCGTCTCACTTTTGTTCGCCTGCGATTATTTATGCTAACAGGGAAATGGCCATAAAGAACATGACTGAAGCTGGAAGTGTAATAAATCTCGATGGAAGTGAAGATGTTGAATTTGATAAAGCGGGCAATCATGAAACGGAGCTGATGTTAGGAGTGCATAAAGACAGAAGAGTCAGTGATGCTGGAATTTTACCAACACCTATGGCTCAGGCAACATTTTTCTCAAAGTATTTCTCATTTTGGTAAGGATTATGCAAGTCAAAATTTCATCCTGTCAGTTGTTAAGTATTTTAGGGTGTACCTGGAGTATCAGAAATAACGACAAAAAACAGGCGTTACGGTGCCTATGGGAATTTTGTCAAAGTGGATGAATAAAAAAAATATAAACCTGGCGTTTTGAAAACCGGGTTGGCAAAAAAAAAATCAACGCATTCTACTACTTGGCAATTTAAAACAATAAAAATATTCATTCAAAGGCCGATTAGTAGTAAAAGCCCTTAACTGACGCCGGACAGTAAGTTAGTGGTCCCTACAGGCATTTCAGCGAGTTCAAATTTAAAATGACGAAAATTTTAGAACATTTATACAGTAATGTGACTCCGTGAGATTTCAAACCGGTATCATTTCAGTCTAGAAATTTTTAAGTTGAGTGAACTGCAGCCAAAATGTACAAGGTTAAAGTTTACGTAACAACTTAAAAAGTTAGCAAAATACTGCTTTTTTCGGGGTCCGATAAACGACAGGATTTTGCATGGAACAGACAACAAACTGATTGAAACACAGTACACGAATTATCACCTTCTTATCTGCAAAAACCGGCCTATGGTTCAACGCCAAGAGCCCGCTGAAACTATAGACCTAGATCTAATTTTCCTGAGTCGAGAATTGGTTTTCCAAGGCACAATCAGCAAAGCTAAACACCG